GTGAGCGTGGAATGTTCATGTGCTTCCTGCGTTCGCGTGGGTTTGCTCATGCGGTCCTCGAACAGATTATCTTAGAACGGTTATGTCAATCGGCATCTCCTTGGAGCGCGAGGCAACACTGCTAACGACCGCATGACTCCTCAGCAGCCGGTTCTATTTGTGGCATTTAATTACAGGTCTGAAGGCCCAGGTACTGGCACTGACTGGCAGTACCTGGCATCAAGCAATTTTTGTGTATAATTATCGCCAGACTTGAAATAAAAGCCAAATGCAGACATGCGAGAAGTAAAGATTGCAGTATTCATGTAGAAGTCATGTACAGAGTACGAATGTACTGAAGAGGACCCTGTGGAAGATTATAGCAGTGCTTCTAGAGTGAATTAATCTTTTACGGCAGATGAAGAGTTTTTAAAAGTCTCCCTCCCAAGTGGAATTAGCGAAGGTGTTACTTTGTATTACGTCGTTATTCAGGTCAGATGCAGTAGCTTTTGTCAGTCGTGTAAAGGGATGAAGTCTCTCTGTTCTCAGATTTAAGGGGCTTTATCTACCTTCAGCAGAAGCATCAAATTCTCCTAGCTGTCACGGGCAGCGTTCGAGTGAGAGGCAGAGTTTACTGCTCCTGCTTTTATTTCATCACAATTCAGGAGAAGATAAGGTCAGAAACATTAACCTGAGAGCACACTTAGAAGATAACAAATTACCTCTGTTTATCATGCAACAGAGGTAAGCTCTCAAGTAACGTGACTAGTTAATAAGGCTATTGGGTGAACGTTGAAGTCTAATGGTGGATCATCGTCCTTGGTGGGCCGGTTAAGCCTTGAAGATAGTGCAGAGTGAACACGATACCGGCTGGTAAGCTGAACTGGAGCAGCGGCTTGCGGATAAAAACTGCTCAATCTGCACAACACCTGCTTTTAAAATAGCGAGCGTGTTCATTACAGATCCGGCCACGAGGTCAGCCTTCTTAATCAGAGGCGATATATTAAAGGCTTCCATCCTCAACCCAAGCTGTATTAATACAGGATTGCAGTACATTATTATCATGGTCTGCTGCAAAAGATAAGTCCTTAACATGGGCAGGCAAAACAGAGTGTCCATGTTGTAAATGTTCCTGTGTCACTAGCACCGCTTCGCATTACCCCAACTGATCTGTTAGCGGTAAATCCTTCCCCTGTATAGTCTTTATAGGACATAGATGGGTGTGGGGAAGTCAGGTGACAGGCTCATTCCCTTCACATCACCTGTGCCATACTGAAGGGTCAGCTCTGTTTTTAGCTTGGGCCCAGGAAACGTGCTCAGCCCCTGATTCTTGAGCCTGCACCTCCTAGTAAAACTGAGTGTTCCCCTCTTTTCTGAAGATGAAGTTACCCCTTTTATTCAGCTCATCTCCACTCCCATCCCAAAATAAAGAGCCTATTGCTCCCTCCGATCCAAACATCACATGATTCTGTTCAGCATCTCCCACAAGCCCTTAGAGCTCTCGCATAATTTGTGGTTTAACTCATAGCTGTAGTTGGGCCTTACAGCTGAGCCTGCAGAACTCCTACAGAACTTGGATTTGGGTCCATCGCTATACTGGCCTACTCATCAGTCCTAAACATGGTTCTGTGTGCCAGGGTCATACAACTCATGCAGGGAAATTCATTTCATACAGCCTCTGATATCAAATTAACTTGCTTGATGCCACAGGTGAGGATCCAGATTAGATTCCTCATTGCAATTATTGAACAAAGTGGGTTCTTGGACCTGGGAAGGCCAATGGGAGAGAGAGCATGCTGGAGTAAAGCACTGATTCTTGGGAATTTGGATAAAACAGGTTTTAATTCTGAAAATAAAAAGTTACTTAAATTACAGAATCTGAAGGTATATCATTATAGACCAAGGTCTTACCTGTTCAGCAATGTACCGATGCAACCTCCTCATTTTGTATTTTTTTCAGGAAATAGGCGTTTTCAGTTATTACTTTGTTTTTGTCAACATAAAGTCAAAGTTGAGTGTAATGATTTGGGGGGGTTTGGGGGGCATGTTGTGATTGCTGGATGACGTATAGAGAGAGGGAAGGCAAACCCCCTCCCCTAGGGTTGGACGATATGGAAGAAATATAGGGGGAATTACATAAATAAAAAATACAAAAGAGGTTAATGAAACATCGCAGGTCATATTGGTATTTATTGTGAGCAACAATTATATTCTACCCTCCGTTGAGGACCATTTGGAGGTTTCTGTCACCACCGTCAGACAGAAAACCTGACGGTGGTGATAAAATCCTGCTCTTTCACATGATATTCATGAGTTGTTCACATTAGACATTTTGTTTCCCCTCTGTTGCAAGCTTCTTCAGACCTCTTCGTAAAAAGTATACATTTTTGTCATAATGTAATCTAATATTTTTTTTACAAAAGAGATGGTGTGGACATGTTATGGTTGTGACAGTAGCAGTGTGCAAAAATATGATTACGATTATGATACGTTTTAGAGAAAATAGCAAACTTACTGGAGCTTGAATGATCTTGAAGCATACAGCAGAGCTGAAGGTTTGAAAATGGGGTCCTCAGGAATGTAGCTGACCTTGTAGTTGCCTGATTTTATTGCTTTTTATAAATATCTGACGGTGGTGACGAACATGTGGGACACATTTTGAGCAACCACAAAGTAATACTAAATATTGTTCAAAACTCACTGTTTGTAGTTTTTAATACATATTACAATGTACTCTTTCATGTGGTAAAGATATTATTCAATTCAATTATTACTTTTTGTTTTTTTAATCAAGTTGAAATGATTTTGTAGGCATTGGGCCAGCACATAATCATTAAATTAATAAAAATAAAAAACAAGCCTATAAAAGAACCTTAAATATGTGCAAAGGGTCCCCTAATTATAACCTTGATTCTTTTTATTCATGAAAATGTTATTCATTTCCAACAGAATGAGCACTTTTCTTAGTGGGACATGTTTTTGCCAAAGTTTCAAGAATCTGTGAAAAGTTTTATGTCAGGGAGAATCCTTGCACCAGCAACAATGGGCAAAATCAGCAGCATTTAAAACAAACACAGAAAGATAAGCACTGGATATTTACTCACCCTTGATAGCATCCATTATTTTTCTAGAACTTTCAATTTGTAAAACTGCACAATATTTTTGTAGACCAAATTAAATAGCATAATCCAAATATTTGAAACCCTGTATTAGAAATGAGGTTGGACATTGAACAAAGAAAATAAAATATATTACATTTTCAGGCCACGGGAATGTTTTGTTTTCATACTTAGTCTGCAGGAAGCTGAATCTGCAAAAAGGATATTTGCGATCTGACAGCACTGATCACATGATTGCTGGCATTGTGTCAGTATCTTTCAGGGCTATGAAACAAAGTAACTTACTGGACACATATACTGGCGTCCTTTGAGCCGTTGAGACTTGAGCTAATATGGAGGGATTGAAAATGGGTTTCGAGGACAAACAATCACACTGTAAACAGCACAACTGTGTATAATGAAGTCTGCTCATCATGGCTTTATAACGAGGGATTTCAGCTGACCTCCTACACATGGAGTGCCACACTGGCCTGCTCGGGGAGAGCAATGCAGGCTACTGCAAGGGCAACATGCCCCCAATATCATATGCCAGAGGAACCTCTCAGAAGAACCACTGGCGATACAATTTGCTGCTGATTAAAAGAACAACAGCGATGACAAGTGATCGGCTCAGAGAGAAGATCCTTGTGTCTCTAGCCAATAGATGGAAGGGAAACAGAACAGCTGCAAAAGTAAGAGGTTCATCTAAATAAATGCAAATTGATGGAGTGAAAACCAAGCAGTGATCACAGAGGACAGCTTTGGGAGAAAATGAGAAGTGAGTGGTTTCTCACTTGGAGATGTAAGGATGATGCAGTGCAGATAATGGTATAGAGGGCAGGTTTGGGACAGGCTTTTGAACATTGACTGCGGGCTGCACATGTGTGACATCAGAATACTTAGTAAATTAGTAAATACTGACACTGGATCCTTGGTGCAATGAAATAAAGCTTTGGACAGTGAGAGTCCACCATGGAAATTTACATCCTTAAGGCACAGCACCATTGTATGCACAGAGAGTCCTTGTGCCATTTCGGGGAACAATATACAATACAAAAATAGCTAAATATCTACCTGAAGTATGAGTAAATAACATCCGGCTTTTATTAGTACTGGCTTCCTAATAGCTTTTATTGTAATTTAGCATATAAATGAGCTGGGGACAGGATGTTCTGGTCACACGCTTCCTCTTCTCCTTTTCTCTCTCCTCCAGCGGTAGCCTGACCGCGTGTGTTTTTCACGCGGAGATTATACTCTTCAAAGTGATCCCCGCTGGCACCATCTCCCTTTTCTTCAGACTCCCCCATGCATAATCGACCCGCTTCTGCCAAAATATTGGCAAAGCGCCGGCGTGGCTTCGAAGAAGCTGGAACACCGTCGCCGGGGTCCCAGGGCCGCTGCACGTGAGCCACATCCATGCACCCTGACACGCCTCTCGCTCGTGTTGTTACTATATGTTTTCTTGGTAATGGATTTTCCATACCAGTGCATTCACAATAAGGTCTGCCTATCCCCTCTTTTCCAAAGCCAGTGAGTTCAGTGTAGGATGGAGCCAGTCAGCTGTCCTGTTGCAATCTACCACAGTGTCTGCATCCTATGCTCATAGTTCACAATGCTTGTACTGTGGGGTAAGTATATCCATCCGCCAACCTTTTTCCAAATTGCTTATTTGATATAGAGCCTGGCCCCCTGGATGGGACTCCTGTCCACTCTCCCATTGGCAGTTAACATTCATTCGCCTAGGTGCACAGTTTATGGACTGTGGGAAAAAGGCCATGCAGACACTGGGAGAACATGCAGACACATCTTTGGGAAACAACATCCCCAGCAGTGGAGGTGTGAGTCTAAAGGCCCAATCCCAATACCCCCACTTAGCCCTACCCCTCCGTTTTGCGAGTACCCGCGTAGGGTAGTGTTGTCCCATTTCTTTTTAGCAGCGAGAGATAGTGGTGTTCAGCCCTCAAGATAGCCCTCGAAACGGAAATTTTTCAGATGCTGACTCAAAACCGAGTGAAAGAAGAAAATTCCCACAATGCAGTGCAAGACACAACAAGAAAAGAAAAGATGGCTAGCGGTGTGGGGAAAGAAGCTCATAAATGTAAAAACATCTTTATAAATACGCTTGCAAAAAGATCTAATTCTTAGCAGAATATCTTAGTTTAATGTAAGTGAAACGGAGTATGAGGTTGAATTTTTCAAAAACAATTTTCTGAAAATCGCTAATTCCGTGCGTAGACACAGAGCAGTATCTCTGTAGTATTTATAGAAAAAGAACCGAGCAGGGGTGAGTTTCACAAAACCGTCGAAGAATTAAGAACGTATTTATTCAGAGAGAGAGAGAGCATTCAAAGTCCTTTTTATGTATTTTTTTTGGCTACGACACTTTTGGGAAACTCACCCCCGATTGTTTTATGTGTTTCGTGCAAAAGTCTTCTAAGTGCATTATTCTACATCGTGGAATATGTAAAATACATTGTTCCTGACATATTGCTTATGCAACATAAACACATTGTTTATGCAAAACGTGTGCATGTTTTATAGGAATATTGCATGCAACATGCTTCATTTTATATCTGCGTGCCATTGCCAAAGGAATGCTAATCCACAAATCGACAGTGTCATAATCATGTTGTAATATTCTAGGGACACGTCCGTCAGTGGTATAATCATGTTGTAATGTTAAAGTGACTTGTCCGTGTTATAAGCATGTTGTACTATTCCATGGGGACTCCCGAGCAAACCAGGCAGCTCATAAAGTTCAGGGCACATATATGAAGAGCAGTTCACCAAAATAAGATGTTTATTCTAATTTGTATGTTAATCGCTGTGTACATGCACAGAAAGTCACATTTATAAAAGGAAATAGTATGCCAAATACATTAAGCAATGAAAGCATTATATTATGAACATTGTGTCACAGGTAAAGCGACAGGTAAAACTTTAGCCAGGCACTCTAGCTGACACAAACACAAATCGTTTTTAAACGATACCTCATAAAATCCACAAGCGTTAGCAGGCATCGCAGACGTCTTCTGCGAGTACTCATCAAACGGAGTACAGTGGTACTTCGGTTCTCGAACTTGATCCGTTCTGGATTGCGGATCGAATCCTAAAAAGTTCGAGTTCTGATCGAATTTTCCCCATAAGAAATAATGGAAAACCAATTAATTGGTTCCCGCCCCCCCAAAATTACACCTAAATGTTTTTTTAGCATTTAAATACAAAATGAACAGCGTAAAACAAGAAGAGTATTTTTTTCTTAATGGCTTCCAAAACGATAAGGATCTTATCCCAACATTATCCCTGTCCTGCCCAGATCGTCCGCTCCTTCAGTGTGCCACGCCCCCTCGTTAACCTCCTGTGGGATCCCCATGTGATCAGCTGTTTCTGGTTGTTCGCATTACTCCTCTGTATTAAGTCCGCGTTTCAGTTTGTTTCCCCAGTCCGGTCATTGGGTGCGTTCGACTTGCTTATAGCACTGGCTTAAAGCAACGCGTATTCTGATCCTGACGCAGTGCATTACGGTTAGATGCATAGCGACCTCTTACCCGGCTGCACAAACTGGAACCGCCTGCGTGACGACACATTTCTGCCCTTATTGGCTGAAGAGTTTAGTTACACGCATGACGTTTGTATCCCATGCAGTTCCAATGCGTAATCTGCTAATTATCCCGAATATCACGTAAAGCAGTGAGAACTGGTTTTCAGTTAATTTACCTGGTAAAATAAAGTTTAAATGAATGACATAAATGCTCTAATAGTACACGTAAGTTAGTGGTTTATTTATTGCTAGTTACTGTAATGTTGCGCTGCTTTATTTGGTTAATCATCCAGTCTGTGAAGAAGGCATTCTAGTAAGAATTGCATTGTAGTATGACTCATTTCCTGGCGCATACAATTTTTATTAGGTCAGCGTTCACGGTTCGACTTCTGATATTCAGATCGAGTTGTAGGTCAAACTGGTTTGTTCGACTTTCAAGAAATTCGAGTTCTAGTCAGTTCGAGAACCGAGGTACCACTGTATGATGATTAAAATGCACGCAGTCGACAATGCCATACCTTGAGCAGGCATTGTTACAAACAAATGCAAAGTCGCAGGTGTGAAACGTATGTGCAATGGTTGACTGCTGATGACGTAAGCGAGTGGTGTCCCGATTCCTAGGTAAAGATTTCAAGCCCTACCCTTTGTGGCTAAGAACTTCGGAAGGGAGGGCCCTCGAAATCTAGCGGTAAGGCTAAGGGAGGAGAAATGAGATTGGGCCTTAACCGTCAGATGATCATATTAGTGTGACTTTTAGCAGTTTCTGTTTATGCTGTGATCAAGTACAAAATTGGTAGAAGATCAGGTCCACAAAATATCCTTTTTAACCGCTATACCCCCTGCTGGCTGTGCATGCTATTTTTACAAACCGCTTGTGACAGTCCGATTAAAAATACTTTCAAATCCATTTCTTTCATTTTTTGGCCAATGTCCAGTGCCAAACAGATGACTACCAAGCAAATGAAGTTTACAGCCACGTAAGCACCGGGGACTTACATTACTGCCATGTTCAGATCACGTTTCACTGGGGCACAGAGAAGGCCAAAGACATGCCTCCTGCTGATACTGTATATGAATATCTGCAGCCTGTCGGATGCAGGTTTTCATTCTTTTTGTTTTTTTGAAAGCACCATGTTAAAAGACACATGTCAGCATCATTCCTGGGAATTTAATGAGTGTAAATTAGATGTTCTGTTGGATATTATAATTTTAATGGAGTGAAACTCTCCAATCCTGTTGGCTACCCCCCTAATCTACACTAAATGTCTTTGCCACCCTAAATTACTGCTCTGGGCTCATTCCATCTTTGCTGTTATGTTCCTTCATGGGGACAGACGTGCCCAGGAAAAGACTCTCAGGGGAAATGTTGCATTATAATCCTAAAATCTCATCATGAGACCACCGATTTGGTAGCTGTAATGTGTTCACTCAATAACCCTTCTGGGACGATGCGATCTGTATAGGACACGCTTCATCAATGGGATGGATACTGATGTATTTCTCTTAATGTTACTGTGGCGTTGATGAAGAGAGAGAGAGAGAACACAAGGGGCGATCAAAAGTTTTGGCAGGCTTCTCCATAACAGCCAGCAAGCCCTTCCATGAATTGAGATAAATTAGCAGCTTGCTTTCCCCAATGGCTTGAATTAAATTACTGTTAATTGAAAAGAATGTCATTCTAATTGTAATGCCACGGTACTTTATTTTATAGTGGCATGAAGAAAAAAAACACCACAAGGGTTGAATATTAAGTGCTTAGTAGACTTTACTTATGTGTCTGTGACATTTCAGAAATAAAAACGGGTCATATGTCATGCCTCCCAGTGCTGAAATTCACTGTAAGTGCTAAATCACACCACATACACATAAACATGTTAATGCCCTTACCTGGCACAGGGCAGCTGCCAGTACCCATGTGCACGCCAATGCATCGCTCGGTCCATTTTCCACTCCTCTGAGATTATAGATGGAGGGTGTAGAGGAACAATCACTGGTGTTCCCACTGCATTGGTGTGTGCAGTAGCGCAGTGTGATCGGAGGGCTGGTCCTGCCCGTGCACTGACGCAACGAGTGAATGAGAATAAGCAGATTTATCTAGCAGCTAACCCATTAAGTGTGATTAACCACTGACACATAGTCATTAAAGATACAAAAATAAATATTCTTTCAGAGAAAAGAGGTGGTATTAACTGAAAATTATATTTCTGAAGTGCATATTTTTTCAATTAACAGACTGCCCCATCCCCCAAAAGGGACTACAATCTCAATGATATGTTATTCTTTAATAATACTTACATAGTTACATTCATTTATAAGCTCTTTTTTTACTAGGTAAGACACTTTTGTCCAGAATGATTCAAAATTATTTTAATTTAATTTAATTTAATTTATATTCTTTTACCAGTCATACTGAACCTGTTCCATACATTGTTCAACAATCAATTAAAAACCTTCCAGCTCACGGAATTCTGGCCTTGACCTTGGATTATGAGGTTAAATGACAGACATACAGATGGATCAAATGACAGCAAGACGAGCAGCTTTAACAATAAACCTGAGATATTAGACTTTCCAGCTGCTCCAGAAATGACCCCAGGTCCGTTTTCAAAAGAATAATCCTACTACCTTTACCTGGCAGTTTTAAAGTGGATCCGTCACAGAGCAGAACTCAAATTAATTGTATTACCTTCTTCCACAACCAGTGTGTCACCTCGCACGGGCCTTTGTGACACATTTGGTACTGAACACTGTCAGTTCTGTTCATTCAGGATGACAGCATAACAATGACTCGTTTCATTTGTACTTTCACACTGTTTTCAAGTGGCATTAAATTTAAATGTTCTCATCCCTGCTTTATGACTGATCCATCCTGCCGTTAGCTTTATGGTTTGTATAAAATAATTAGCTCCCGTTCATAAAATTTAGCTTTCATGCTGTTTTCTAGCAACATTATCACATGTTTTAACACTATTGCAACATCAAGATACAATCTTTCAATTCCCGTTCATCTTCTTCACCTAATAAATACTATCCATCCATCCATAACCATTTATCTGGTGTAGGGTCAGTGAGAGCCCATCCCAGACACACAGGACACAAGGCAGGGAACACTGTGAATGGGATGCCAGTCCATGGTATAAAACACTCACACACAAAATCACACACTGAAATCGATTTAGAGACACCAATTAATCTCATGATTCCAGAATGCGGGAGGGAACCTCCCCAAACAGGGGGTGGGGGGGGGATTCTAAGTGCTCTCACTCAGGGGGCCCTAAATTATTAGGAACATAATTGGATTGGTCTGGGTTGTAGGCCCAATATTGTATGCTTTCATGGGGCACAAAATCTTTAGTGGCACCCCTGACTATAATTACTATATTATTATTAACTACAGTAGCATCAAAATCAATATAAAACAAGATGCTGGTCTTCATTCTAATTACACCTATGCTCCTAGATAGCACTTGTTCCTGCATGTCTTTTATTATCATTCATTTTCTATTTTCCATCTTTCTTTTAGTTTTTACACGAACAACAAATTTGATTTGCAGCGTATGAATATTTCATTTATTCCAGTGTGATAAAGTGTGCTCCCTCACAGCATAACTAGCACAGCCTTGCAGTTGTAATGATGTCTTCCTCATACAGAATGGTCTGCAAAATGTTTCTCTTTCCCTCCCATCTGTCAGCTACAGTACAAGGTGGCACTCAAAGTCAAAAGCACTTTTGAAGGAGATGCTCTAAGAACATTGACCAAGGTTGCGGTAAATATCACTCTCTCAGAGCTTTAAGAGCCAGACCACAATTAATGTGGTTTGCTGATGGCAAGCAACCTTATTGGAATCAGTGTTGCAAATAAGCACGCGAGAAAGAATTGAATAGAATGGAATTTCTTTATTGTCATTGCACAGGTACATAATAATGTAATAATAACACTGTGAGTAATACTATCAGTACAAAAACAATAGAACTGTATAATATGTATAAACAGAAATGTGAATGAATATGAGACAAGGTGTTTGAAATCACTGCTATAGATAACCTTTCTTGCTGTTTTTCTCCTGGTGTACAGCTGCTTAGAAATTATTTTGGAAATGTAGTTGTTTTTCTGTGCTGTGCTTGTTGATTGTCCTGGGTTTTGTGATTGGTTACTTTGTTTCATCACTCCTTTTCCCTTACAGTTTGGTAATATAATGTCACATGTACTATTTGGGCTTTCCTTGAAGCATTCCATCACATGAAGTATGAGGCAAGGCACATCGAGCAGGAGTTTCAGTCGTAGTGATATGACTCACAGTGTGTGGGATTTACAGCTTGTTTCAAATCACTCCCCAATTTAACCCAACGGGTGTCGATAAATTAGCCAGTGAAAGGTGGGTTAAACCTGACTGCTAAATCACAAAATTCCCACCCATCACAACTCTGTCGCACCCACTACAGTCTGGGGTTAATGGTGAGATTTCTCTGTACTAACACCAGGAAATAGAGGTTGGATTTAGTTAATAGGAGAACAAGTCCAACCAAGCAGCTATCAGGTAGACATAAAACCAGTTTTCTTTTACTCTCATGTAACAGCTATAATAATTTAAGCCATGGTATTAAGTTCTCAAATATAATTAGTCAGAAGGGTGTTGATTACGATTATTGAAGGAACAATAAGATGAGTCTGAAATCTTTAATTTGTATCACGATTTGATTTGATCAATCAATTATTCTATTATTTTTAAGAAATTAAAATGTGTTTTAAATTCATTGAAAAAAATTCACAAATATTACCATGGGAATTTAACATAATATTAAGTCCTGCCCATCATGTCCGCCTGACTCTCCTACATCCTCCCTACCGTGGCACTGATGAGCCAAGCCTGTTGCTTGTTGCCCCTCTTTAGCATCTGATCATCTCATCAGCCCCAGTCAAGTCATTGACGTTGTTCCTCCTGTCTGCCCGTGTCCTTCCCCATGCTAACGTCCTTGTTTTGACCTCTCATGGTCTCGTTTGTTTCCCTGCCCCATTTAGCTAAATGACCAACTGCCTGCCTGCCAGTCCTTCATCACGCCTGTCGTGACAGAATGACCAGACTCCCGGTCTCGGATCACTTAACGGGAATCCCCGGGAGCCTCTTTTGCTCCACGTCTCACCCTGAATACTTTTCTATGCACTTGACCTCCTCTAGGTGTCCGAGCCTCTCTCACACTGATGGTTTTTGAACAATCCCCCCATCGACCTGCTAAGTGGGAGCGACCTAGAGGAGCCTGAGAAGGACCCAGTAGAGACTCCGGGCCTGCAGGTTGTCCCATCCATATGGACGCCACACTGGGCTCTTCACCACGATGAGGATGACATGCCCACACTGATCCCTGGAGCCCCATGTCTCTGAGGTGGCCTGGTTCGCTGCTTCCCCATGACCAGAAGCTACTCTGCTTGCTGCATCTACACAGTGTGAAGCCGCTCTCCTTGTCACCTCTCAGCTGCGCAAAGCCGCTCTGCTTGCTGCCTCTCAGCTGCGTGAAGCTGCTCAGCTCACTGCCCCTCAGCCTGCCGCCTCCCTGCAGCATGAAGCAGCTCAGCCTACCATTTCCCCACAACTTGCTGCAGCTCAGCCCATCATCTCCAGCCACAGGAGGAGGTAGTGGGCTGTCTCCCCTGACCCATTGCTTCCAGTGCCCTCCCCAGGAGGTTACCAAACCTCCAAAGTTCAGCCCTGAAAGGGCCGCTGCTCGTCCCAAGCCCCTAGAGTCTGGCCCACAGGGGCTCACTCCATCCGCGCTCCAGACACCGGGCCCAAGAGGGGCCACATCACCTGTACCCGTCTTGCAGCAGTCATATTGTTCCACAGAGAACCCCAGGGGATGCGCAAAGTATTCCAGCTTCTCCCTGCTTGCCTCCAGGTGCCCGGGCTGCATCCTGTTCATCTCCTGCCATTGCATCGGCTCCCACCGCGTCTCCTGGCATCACGTCAGCACCAGCCTTGTTTCCTGTCATCACCCTGGCAGCCTCCTCATCCCCTGCAGGACACCACCAGGCCAACGTCCGACTCCCCGCTTGCCGTCAGGCCAGGTTGGGTCGACCCAGATGATGCCTCGCTGGAGCACTTACATTGGGACCCTTTGGGCTTTGCCCTAAGTCCCACTCTGTGGGCCCCAGCCTCAGCACAAAGTCCACACCGATCTGATCCTATGTCCTGGTGCAGTCAGCGATGTCAGCTGTGGCCCTGAAGAGGGGTTGGCTAAGTCTCCTTCTCCCAGCAGGGGATACGGGAGCACACTATGTGACGGCTGCCCCAACTCTCGTTTGCCCGACATTGCCCGTTCATTCAACTCTCCTGCTGAGTTCTGCAAGAGAGAACCTGCGGTGCCCTCCTGCTCCTGCCGTGCAGTTCCTTCTGTGCCCTCTGGCCCTGCAGGCCTGAGGGGCCCCGGAAGGTCTGCATTCCAGGGTCACCACCCAGCTACCCAGGGTCTGGAAGACTTCCCAGACGTACATTCTCCATTCCCACTGGTCATGCCTTGGCTTCTGTCCCAGTTCCCTGTCCTGCCTTGATTTTGTCCTGGCCTGTGTCCCCTGTAGCCTTCTCCTTTGTTTCCGTCTCTGCCATTGTGGTCCCTCTATCTGTCTGCCCTGTCCTGGTGTGTATCTTGTTGGGTGACTTCTCTGCAGTCCCTGATTTTGCCTTGGTCTGTTCTGTGCCCCTAGTCATGTCATCTGTCTGGTCCTGTGTCTTGTCTGTCTGTTGTTCCCATGTCTGTTGTGTTCAATTTGTCTTGGTCTCTGTCTCTCCTGCTCTCTGTTGCTGTCTATACCCTGTTGGGTACTGACCTTCCTGTGTCCTCCCGAACATGGTCTTGATAAGGCATCCCTCTTGTTATCCATCATTAGTCTTTATATTTACCTTATTTAGGTAATAATAGTACCTGTTTGTCTCATCAGCCCCAGTCCAGTCATAGATGTCGCTCCTCCTGTCTGCCCTTGTCCTTCCCCTTATGAGTCTTCTCATTTAGACCCCTTACGGTCTCGTCTCTTTTCTTGCCCCCATTCAGTTAAATAAAACCCCCTTTTGTTCACCAAGAGACTGCCTGTGAGTCCTTCATCCCACATTGCATGACGCACAATATTAATGGAATACAAAGAAAGTAGAATCTCGAAACATACTTTTTTTTTGTTTTTATTAAACAGCGTGAATGCACCAGTGTGAAACTGTGAAAAATCCAACTAATGAAAAAAATTATAAAATGAAACAAAAAAATCACACCCATGAATGGATGCGTAACCTGACTAGGAGGTTGTGGGAGAGAGGGGTGTATGCTGGCTCTGTAACACTGTAAAGGCTGCTTGCCCAGTTCGGTCAACTGCATTATTTTAAGTAGTTACCTCTGGTGCTGCTAACATTGAATACTGAGAAAGTTTAAATATGAGCTGACAATATTGGCAATGACTGACACAATTGACCAATGGCAGTATCTTGATTGTCAACAAATTCTGGCCAGTACTAATATGTTTAGCAACTTGTTGTGCATCTCTAACGCTAACCTTACTTTTTATTTTGCTAGCTAGTTAGCTACCTCAATGTTTTAGATTATCTTAACCATTAGAGAGAGCATTTTGTGCTACGAGACAGGGGAGACCTTCCCAAAAGTGTCACAGCGCAAAAATGAAGCAGCACATCCTTTACGAATAGTAATGAACTTTCACCTGTAGTCTCACACTTCAAAGGTTCACATGCCGGGGTCTGTAGCATGTGAAGGTGAAAGTGCACAACCCAGAAGAATTATCTTTATTTCACTGCCAAAAATTGTTCCTGACATTACATATTGGTACACTGAATCGCCACCTTAGTAATCGATTCACCATGATGCATCAATGCCTAGGTTGATTAATTTTCTATATGTAGTGCCAACCAGGCGTATCACTGCAGAAAATCAATGTGCCATTGTAATCTGTAATTCTAACCTAAATAAGGGTTGATGCACAGCAACCTTTGCATCATATGATTTCAAATATAAAGCTGCAGAGGGAAAAAACATATGTCACTTATACCAGGCTTACTGTGTATCTGTCTTGCACATTATTTTCCTGTTTAGGAGCTAAAAACACATGAGATAATCCACAAATATTTCAGTGACAACTCTGCGTGGATTCTTTAGCTGAAACTTTTCAGAACTTTTATTTATTGTCACGTTATGGAATAAATGGAGAATCCCGAATGAAGAACTAGCTTATGGTCTTAGAAACAAACAATTTTCAAATTACGAGAGTGGCTTGGGTTTTATCTAAGCAAAATATTTGTTCATTGGTGGAAGAAAGCAGTTCTACTAATAAATGCATTTTCTGTGCTTTTTCTACCTACAAAACACTCCCCACAACAGCATCCTGTTTATGGATGAGGAACTGAGGGCTGAGCTTTAGAGTGCTATCTGAGGTCATGCATATTCATTTAGCTACTAAGCCAACACATTTAGAGTAAATGTACCTTGCCTCAAGGTAGCACAAAATAACTGCACTGGGGACTCAGACAGGCAAGTCTGAGGTCTTTAACTCCCATAATACCTATAGCCCTGTGGTTTAATTTGATTAATCACTGTATCCACCAAGAGACCTCCGCAAGTACACTCCCACTAGCTGCCTAAGGATAGCAAATTGGAGAATGTTAACCGATATCCTTAACCAAGTTCAAGGATTGCTTACAAATTTGTCTGTAACATTTACTGTAAATAGGACTACAGTGATGGCCCACTATATCGCGGTTCAGCCACCGCGCCATTGCTATATCGCGGATTTACACAATTTAACATTAGAACATGTGGAAATTAAGAGTAACACAATAAAAACTAGTAATAATTCTTCTGTTTTCTAAAAAGTTACTGATATCTAGTTGGATTTCAGTTCCCAAACTTCTCCTCAGAGGAACCTCAGCCGGTCCATGATTTTGTTGAATTTCACCAACAGTTCAATTAAATAATTAAATAAATTGGTTTAAAAAAGTCAGTGACAGATTGACTAGCTGTATGAGGTGTGTTAGTGGCCAAGTCAAAAAATACATGACTGCACTGGATGGCCGCTGCCATTATTAGGATGATGATGATGATGTGATTCATATCCTTAGCCCAACATCCACATATCATATGTGTTTACAAAGTGTGTTTTATTAAATTTGCATGTGTTTACAGCATGTGGGAGGGGTATTTTAAGGCTTAAACTATAAAAAAAAAATGTAAATTTATATGGTCTTTCTATATCGTGGATTGCTGATGGGTCTGAAACGTAACTTTCGTGATAGGTGGGGGATCACTGTACTGCATGTCTATTTGCACCACGAGAGGGCTGTCGGACATTGATGGAATTGAACATGCCGGTGGCACCCCCACCTGTACGCCAAATACGCACTGCGTACCCTAGCTATACCACAAGACTGGCACACCTGCCAAGTCTGCTTATTAGAAACAACTTTGGGCTTATGTTTCTGTAAAATCGCTGCAGGACAATAGCAAACCTGGCCTGCGGGTGTTCTATATGTCCTGTGAAATGGGGAAATTCACATACATACGAAATACAAGTATAAAATAAAACAGAACAGGGCGTTTGAAGCAACAGGGACCAGAAGCATCCATCCTTCATTGCTGATCCTTCAGGCTGAGCTTCATTCTTATAATAAGAGCATAAAAATGCAAAACCAGATTTGGGTTACTGTTTTGGTGCAATAAAACCTGTTGAATTGCATGTAGTCAGAATATTAAGTACATCTAACCTAAAGCAAATGGGTTAATTAAACTTCATAACTTGATTTGAAAAAAACTTCATTTCAATTGAAGCAATTTTTAATTCTCTTTTTTCAGTGTGCATAAAATGAGCTGGTGACCAATAAATTCAATTGTTTTCGTATTTATATGATCAAAGTTCATTGTTTCTTTTGAAACGTGTTTAAAATCCTGGATGCTAGCCCTCCATCTCTGGGACCAGTGCAAGTATGGTGGGTAGATATTGACAATTTAGTGTTATACGTTCGTTCTGGCTTCAAAAACAATTCAAATATGTGTGAAATGTAAATAAATACTGAATCTGCTGGTACAACAGCACCAAATAATCATTACTATTAAGAATTGAAGCGTTTGTGTAACAAACTCCATTTAGGTAGAAAGAAGAATTATACAGGGTTGCGATGACTTAACACTTTCATTGAGACCAGTGGTGGTTTATAGGATGTCATTGTGACTTTGTGCACTGCTCCCTCTTGGTGTCTGTTGTGCCCTTTTGACTTTATTCTCAGTTATTTCAAGTTTAAATCTCAGAATATTTCAACATTAGGCTATAGCAGAAATATTTGCCTATTACTTTATTTTTATGAATGCCCTGAAATGCAATCATACAGAATGAGGGGTCAAATAAAGAGTGAAAGCATCAGCTCTGTAGAAGCACTTCAGATTAAAAGTGAATGAGAATGCTGTTGTCTGTTAGTATTGCAAAGCACAACTTGAATATCACCAGTAGAGCATGACTGAAATGCAAATACATCTTAAAAGAAGACATTCAGGTTTGATGGACTTACCCAATAATGCCTATCACTGTATACGGTATATAATAACCAATTAACATGAATTATTTTTTGTCAATGTATTGCGTGTTTTGAATATGGCTGACTAGAAAAAGATCACGATATTTGGAAGTTATATAATAACTGTATAGCCATGTAGACCATATCTGCTTTTATCTTATAACTTGTGTTGTGTTATTGAGTTGTGCCAACAGACACAAAGCAGTCCCGACAGATCACTTGCTTTTGTCATTGTTACTATAAAAGATAAAATATTTCCGTACAGCGGAAAACAAATGGCTTTTTGTGACCAGTTCTCGTTCGCCTTTTTCCTCTTCACGCATTTTTTGCATAATTTCTCACAAACAGGCCACACAGTCTATGAATCAGTCCAACAAAAAGGACAAAAATTATATGGCTGTCTTGAAGATCACATGCAGTGCTCATGCAAAAGCAGTGGTGGAACTTCTTGCCACCCACTCACTTGAATTGTATGTTCTTTCTGCCAAATGGGAAGGTGCTGTGATTAGCAGCTACTGTAGTGTCCAGTTCACTAGTTGTGCTGTTTTTGCTAAGTTCACACTACACGATTTTAGCCCCCATTTTCTGCTTGCTGACAGTTTTAAAGATAAAGATTCCTGACATTTGATTTCACTGTTTCAACAGTTTGTCACTACACAACCTTGACAATAGAATTGTGATTTCCTGGTGTCATTCAACATAGTTTGGAGACCAGACAGACTCATCACCGATCAGTCATGTAGTCTGTGACCCCCTGTCGCCGATCAGTCATGTAGTGTGTGACCCCCTGTCGCCGATCAGTCATGTAGTGTGTGACCCCCTGTCGCCGATCAGTCATGTAGTGTGTGACAGCCTGTCGCCGATCAGTCATGTAATCT